ATTAACTATTCATCAGTTAAAGGACATTTAGGTTGTTTTTGTTTCCTAGATATTACTAATAGAGTGGCAGTGAGTATTGCTGAGAAGTATCTGTGGAGTAGGGTCCTTTGGACATATAATAAGGAGTGGTAGACCTGGGCCATATGGTAGCTATATGTTTAGCTTTGTTAGATTAATCTGCTTATTTTCTAGAAATGAAAGTCTCTTTGAACCTGGAGCTTGTTGATTTGGCTAGTCTGTCTGTCTGTTAGGCCCCAGGAACCCTTCTGACTCTGTTTCCCCAGTGTTGGGATTACAGGCATGCACTGCCATACTGGCTATATTTACATGGATACTGGAGGATCAAACTCAAGTCCTCATGGTTGCAAAGCCAGTAATTGCTAAGTTACCTCCCCAGTCCTAAATCCAGGTGTCTTTATACTTTTTTTCTCTACTTACATAATAGGACAAAGCTGTGGAACAGTGTGTTAGCTTTTAATTTTTATTCATGATCACTGAACTAAGGTTGGCACCGTAGTGCATATGAACAAGGTGTATCCATTGGCATTAATAATTCATTTACCCTCCCTTTTCTGTCTATTCTGTACAAGCTCACATCATCACCTCTGCTGTTATTCTTGGCTGGTAATAATACTTTCTACATTTTTATGTATATAAAAGTGAAGTTATTATTTAAAACAAATAATGAATTCTCAAATTTAAATATATTTTATCATATTCTTCCCCTTGAACAAGTCTGTCTAGATCCCTACCAACCAAGTTAAAGTCCTTTCTCACCAGTGAGCAGGCTACATCATTGTCTATTTACCTTTTACCCCCATTACTCAGAGAGTTAATAGACATGAGTAGGACCTGGACTTTGATTTTGATTACTCAGGGAACTCTAGCACACACAGTCTTAGAAATAACTAATCCACTAAAATATACACTCAGACTACTAACTGTTAAATTTACTAATAACTTACTCTGTTCACTAAGCAAAAAAAAAAAAAAAAAAAAAAAAAAACAGTGGTTGACTAGGTGATAGGCCCCAGCAGAAGAATCCAATACTGATGTTGAATGTCTTTCTGTATGCTGCATATATGTTGCTTTGATTGGTGGATAAACAAAGCTGTTTGGCCTATGGCAAGACAGCTTAGAGGCAGGTGGGAAATTCAAAGAGAGAGACAGGAAGAAGACCAGGAGGGGGTTGGATGCCAGAGAGCTGCCCAAAAAACAACGTGTAGTGGGACACAGATAAAGCCACAGAACATGTGGCAATACATAGATTAATAGTTATGGGTTAATTTAAAATATAAGAGCTAACTAACAAAAGGCTTAAGCCATGGCCATATTATAATTAATAAAAGCCTGTGTGTGTTTACTTGGGGATGCATGTGGGAGAGATATGTCCCAACTGCCAGCTGGCCAGGACACAGGAATACTTCCAGCTATACAATACTTTTAATATGCTAAATGGCTGTAGTAATAAATTTATCCCTAAATTCTTCAGACACATAAATGAGTGTATCTCTCCACCATCATTAGAGAAGTTAATTTTTACAGAAGATGACAATTAATGCAGAAACCCATAACTGGTCAATGTTTAGATATTAAGAAACTATGGAGTGGTCATCTTTAAATGGGATAGTCATCTCACACCTACATCACTGTAATTGGCTCTTACAGAGAGAGTATTGCATTATTGACAGCTAAGAAAGTTGTTAACATTTCATTTCCATCATGTCTTCTTCAACAGATGTTATTGATTCTCAGTGTTTTTCTAAAGAGAAGCTTGTAGTTGTTTGACTCATAGTCTTTTGTGACATGTGACAAAATATGTCTTTTGGGATTTGTGTGAGAAAGATGATTTTAAACATAGATGCAAAAACATTGTGCCACTAATTCTCATTTTGAATGATGATAACTGAATCATTACAACTTCAGGGAAAAAGTTCTTTTTATTGACTATGATTAAATGTGAAGGACTTTTATCTACTGATAGTTGGTAAACATGCAGCCCTCTCTGGGAAACTGAAAAAAAAAATTATTGTGATCATGAAACTCTTTTTCAAAAATAAATTTATAGTCCAAAATCAACAAAGCTTACCATAAACCCTCAGGGAAAATTGAATCATGGAAACTGAGAGTCAAATGCCTGATTCTTTTATGAGGACTTCATTTTTACTAAAAAAAATCAAAATGAAGAATTAAGCTCTGAAACTGACTTAACTTTTTTTCTTGAAGGGAGACTGGCTTCCCTCACCAAGGAGAGATGTTCCCTGCATGTCAGGTACAACAACTGGAACGGGGAAAGCTGGAAGACTCCTCATCTCTGCATCTAGAATGGGTGACTCAAAACTTAGAATGAAGTGACTTTTACTAATTTGTGAAACTGTGATTAGGTCATAGATACTAGAAGGACTAGCTGAGGGTCACAAATAGAAACACTAGGTGTTGGTTAATTCCAAGGTCTCCAAAATGGATGTAGGCATCAGTGGTTGAAATCAAAGCTTCATTCTTACTGTTGTGTGTAAACCAGCACCATGATATATACTTATTTATTTTCTTTTGGCTTACTTTTGCCCAAATGTTTTCTGCCTATAGAAATTTTGCTGATAAATTAGTGTCACTATAAACCATTACCAACACACAAATCAAAACAAAGCAAAAACATGAACATATACTTAGAATCCATGTTTTCTAAAAAGTATTAACTCCTCATTTGGGTCTTCAAGATAACTAAAAGCAGTTTGAAAGCTTGCCATCTTTCCTTCATTTTGTATTTATCTATCCCCTTTTCTTTGGGTCAGCCACCTGCTTAACTTTGTATGAAGACACATTAGTCACTCAGGGAGCATCTGTTCAAATTGCATTGACATCTGACCTGTCTCATCCTGCTTCAGTGGTGATGGAGAAGATGGAAGAATAACTAAGGCATCTTCCTGACAGCTCTTACAATGTCCTGCTCCGGGCACAGAAAAGGTACCAAAAGGTCACCAGTCAGTCATCAGCCTGCAGTCACCTTGGATTTTAGGAACCACGGGACTTATCAATAAGCATCCTGTGACAAGAGACCAAAAAATAAGGGATGGCATTTCAGAACAAGTTACCACCCACCAAAGAAAGGCAATTATCTGTAATGATGAAGCACTACCTTGGAGCAGGAATAAGCATCTTATGGGAACAGGATTGCTCCCTTCAAGCAGTGCCTTCTTCCAATCATCATGCAGAACAGGAAGAGGCATAATGATCAACCAGGTGGTACCTGGTGCAAGACTATCTCATTGCTCCTACCTCTCCATCCCCATAATCTAACTCTTATTTGATGGGGGAATGTCTTTCTGTACATTGTGAAAATGTATTGCTCTGATTGGTTGATAAATAAAGCTGTTTGACCTATGGCAAGGCAGCTTAGAGGCAGGCGGGAAATTCAAAGAGAGAGACAGGAAGAAGGCAGGGAAAGACACCAGCCAGCTGCCCAAGGAGCAACATGTAATGGGACACAGGTAAAGCCATGGAACATGTGGCGATACATAGATGAATAGTTACAGGATAATTTAAGATATAGAGCTAGCTAGCTAAAAGGTTGAGCCATGGCCATGCAGTTATAATGAATATAAGCCTCCGTGTGTTTACTTGGGGGACTCGAGTGGGAGAGGAGGGACACAGGAAATCGTCTGGCTATAAATGGTGCCTAACGGCTCGAGTTTCCACCCGACCTGAGGATATTTAATAAGCAGTTCCAAACGGAGCCAAAAATAGGTTCCTGCTTCATGCCTCATGCAGGTGGCAAGGCAAGGCACCCACCACTATGGTGGGTTCGTGGTCTGGGGGCTAGACCTGCAGCATGGCTGAGGATTCCCGACAGGTACACAGTGCTATCTCCAAGCCTCACAGAGCACTCCATGGCAAATTTAACTTTTGCTAGTACCAAAAATAAAGGTTTCTGGGATACACAATGCTGGATGGAGGCATGGACCCATTGCCTCCCAGAGTCAGCAGAGAGCATATCTCCCTGAGCTGGAGGTGAATTACCTCCACCACATGGGGAAGCTGAAATGGGCGGAGTGAGCAGCCAAGGCTTCTGCTTCAATACTAGCCACTGCCGTTTAAAGCAATACATTCACAATAAAGCAGACTCAGATGGAACAAGACTTTAAATGGTTTATAGTGTATTGTTGTTGGAGGGCTTTTTTCTAGCTTTTACCAAGCCCCATAGTCCCATAATCCATATATAAAATAATCACTCATACGTTTATAATACTTATAAACTGTATGGCCATGGCAGGCTTTTTGTTAACTGTTTTTTTTTTATCTTAAATTAACCCATTTTTATAAATCTATACCTTGCCACGTGGCTGGTGGGTTACCAGAGTCTTTACATGTTGCTTGTCCTGGTGGTGGCTGCAGTGTCTCTCCCTCCTTTTTTTTTTTCTAATTTTCTTCTCTCTTTGGTTTGTCTATACTTCCTACCTGGTCATTGGCCATCAGTGTTTTATTTATATAGAGTGATATCCACAGCACTTCCCCTTTTCTTCTTTTTTTAAAAAGGAAGGTTTTAACTTTAACATGGTAAAATTACATATAACAAAACAATTATCAAGCAAGAATTACAGTTACAATATTAAAGAAGATGTCCTATCTATCTTATATTTGTGAATTTAAGGTTTTATATCTAACTTATCTTTTATCATAACTGAGGAAATTACAGCTATCTAGTTTTCAACCA